TACATACTATTACTGCTTCTGTAATAAATTGAAGTGTAAAACATTAATCGCTTGTTATTCAAATATTCATGAATGTAATTATATCGTATTTGGGGTCGTGTTTGTTTTTGATTTTGGCAACAAAATTACTTTTATTGCGAAATTTTGAATTCGCGGAATTTTCTGTAAAGCTTATGAAAAAGCTTAAAAAACTACTAAACGAATAAAGATTAACATTCAATAAAATAAGTCATTTTAGGTAAGATGTCACAGATGATTGTATAGATAAAACGTATTAAGATTACAAAAGAACAAAACATTAATTATTTATTTGAATTGTTGATTTTGGTTTCAATTTCAATGGTTTATTTACTGTGCACATTAACTGAACCTAGTTTTCGCTTGCTGCGTTAGTTACGGTGCGCTGTACGATAATTTATTTTTCAATGACACAGTTACTGTGTTGTTTATTATGGGATAGTCCTACATAATCTCAAATCTTCAATTATTTCTGTTATATTTTCAGAGAGGGGAAATATAAATATAAAATTTTGTTAAAGTAGTCATCTTTAATGTGAAAACTTTTAAATAACTTATCATATTAAATTTTTTTTATACAATATAAAATTTATGAAAATATGTTAAGTATTAAATTTTTATTGTGCAGTTATTGAGGCTCAGTATTCAGGGAGGTATAACTGATGTTTTGAATTTGTACAGTAATTGAGGTATAACTGATGTTTGTGGCACAAGTATTTAGCTTCAGAACTTTTTTTTTTCTCTTAATATTCAAAGGAGACTTGATACTTGTGACATGGGAAAATTTATACAGTAGAACGTCGATTATCGGAATTAATAGGGAGATAAATGTGTTCCGATAATTGAATTTAATTGAATCCTGTACGAAAGATATACATTTTGTGGTTGATTTATTTGTATACTATTATACAAACAATAGAAATGATATAAACAACAAGAAAAAATTACATAAATTTGTATGGATCCCATACTTTTCTTACATATATAATACATATATGTTACATGTATAATACATATATAGTACATACATATGTTTTTTAGCTTTAGTTTTTTGCATTCCGTTCGTGCTTCAAATCATCTAAGCCCTTTCTCAAGAGTTTCAAATGCTTCGGAATGAGAAAGTATTTCTTTGTCATAATCTTCGTCATAATCGTCGTCAATGCACTCGTGCTCCTCTTCTTGATTCATAGTTTCTTCTACAATGTTTTGGAAAATCGAATCCAATCTAATGACATCAACTTCATCACAATTTTCACATCCTATAATATGCTACTTAGTGCTTCATGCACTGCGTTTTTTGTTGTTTCTGGCTCTTCTATACACTCCTCATTTTTATTTGTTAAAAGTGCCTTCCACGCTTTTTTTTAGAGTTCTAGATTTAACATTCAACCAAGCATTTCCCGCCATACACTAACAATCTTTTAAGCTTAAATTTTTATGCAATCTTCAGCTGTATTCTTCAGCTGTATTATAGTGAAATGGATAACATTCATTTGAAACATTCGTTTACTCCTTGATCCATTGGTTGGATAAGGGATGTCACGTTAAGTTGCAAACACATGATTTTAACAAAATCTATTGTATGTATTGTCTTGCAATTGTGATGGGAGTTAGCATTATCTATTAGCAACAAAGCTTTCTCTCTGTGCCTACTTATTAGCTGTCTTCCTCTAATTGATAACAAGAAATATTCCTCATATCATTTTGCAAAAATAGCACTGTCCATCCAAGCATTTGACTGAACTTTGTAGATGATTGCTACACACTCATATTAATATTTTTGAACCATCGAGATTTTTTACTCTTGTCAATAATTAATGTAGCATTTCATTGCCTGAAGCATTTGCACAAACAAATGCCGTAACATAATCCCTACTCATTTTTCAGTCTGGTCTTTTTCGGTCTTGTCCGGACTTCTCATATCAAGAAATTAAAATTTTTTGTGACAATGCTTTCAACAGTAGTCCTGTTTCGTTGGCATTGAAGATGTTTTCCAATGCATATCTCTCGTCCTGCAGAAACTTATTAAAATCAGTTTTGAAGGCTTCTGCAGCAGTTTTATTTGTGGGAAGTTTTCCTCCATTTATTTGTAGAATACTGTGGAGTAACTTAAATTTTGATAACCAACCACTGCTAGCTTTAAAATTAGTATTTCCTTGCATTTTCTTATTAATTTCTACAGCTTTCTCAATCAATGATCCTGATATAGGTATTCCTTTGATTCTGAATTGTTAAAACCACTGGTAAAGGGTAATATTCAGATCATTAATTTTTGTTGCTTTAAGACGTAGCAGTCTGTAAATAATTTTGTGTTGAGCATTTGTTGTTCTTGTTACCACTAATTGTCAATTTACCAACACCTTTTTCTTGAATTGATAACACTATCCGTTTGGTTGAATATTAAATCTACATTACTAAAAAGAGCGAGGAAGAAAATTGTTACAAATGAAAGTGAAAAGTGAAAATTATGATGAAGTTGATGCGATAGATTGCATTGTAATAGATTTCGTTGTAGATGAAACAAAGAATTAAGAAGAGGACGACGATTATGACGAAGATAAAGATTCTCATTTCGAAGCTTAGATAGTTTGAAGCACAAACGGAATGCAACTCCAAAGAATTATTAACGCTAAAAAACATATGTATCTAACTCAGCAGCGAAAAGAGTATGGGATCCATACGAGTTTATGCAATTTTTTCTTGTTGTTTATATCATTTGTATTGTTTGCATCATGGTATAAAAATAAATCAACCACAAAATGTATATCTTTTATACAGGATTCAATTAAATTGTCTCCCTATTAATTCCGATAATCGAGGTTCTACTATACAAATTTTCCCATGATACAAGTATCATGTATCCTTTGAATATTAGGAGAAAGAAGAAAAGTTCTGGAGCCAGTTACTGTGTAATCGAGATTCTACCTGTACCTTATGTTTTTGGTTGTTTTTTAAGCCTTTACAAGATCTTTCAAGCCCACTACAAAAAACCACTATTCAACTCAGAGTCAGATCTTTCACATTTTTCTCTTGTTAGTGCCATTTAGAACTCTGCTGCATGGCACTAAATGCTTGGAAACTGCGGTTTTTTGCGGAATATTTGAAATGTGTTAATTTATCTTAATTTTGTGCAACGAAACAAAAGATGAGTGACATACTATAATTATAAATTTGATGTTTTTGATTGTACAGAATCATCTCCTGCACGAGGCAAGAAGAGAAAACACGAAGATGGAGATTCAGGGAACTAGAAGCATAAAAAAACAGATTTCTGATATTGTTGAATGAGTGTAAAATTCATATAAATAACAATAACTGAGATGCCGAGTGAACCACCTGGGAATCAAACTAATTGACCGACCAATGACAGACTACAGTTAGTTGTGAGAGTTAATCAGTAAATCATTGACTGACAAATTGTCTGTAGAACAACAAATCATTGCAGAGGGAAAGAATATAGACGGAAATGAAGAAAAAAATGGTAATGATGGCATAAAAAATAGGGCTGCATTCCAGCTGGACACAGTACGTTTTAGTTATACTAACAATATTTTATATAGAGTATATAGTTAAAATATTAGCGGTGTTGCATAGTGGACGATAAAGATCAGATATTGATGGACACAGAGGCAGCAGTGGAGTTTTACACTTGAAGGAGCATATTTGTCTGTTAGCTCCAGTCGGCCAAAGGCTGGTCACGCTGGAATGCAGTCATCGTTAATCAGTAATAAGGTTACATAAGTTACATTTTAAATACATTATTATTGTACTATGAGTAAGGCTAGAGTACACGAGGAACAACTTTTGTACAGGTTTACACCATACATTGAGATGCATTACGCATCTGTGATTTTTGGGACAGAAAATAAAGAAATGAAATATGTTGCTCATGCGTTGGAGCTTATACCTATGGAAGATATTAGCACGTTGATCGCCACGCCACCTAGATCTGTGCGATGGCTGTGTTTACATGGGAGCCTTGTTATTCACAATTAGGTGACGCTTTTTTTCGTCCAATTTGTAGGATTTTACACGTAATTTATCACAATTTTATTTATATTCTTTCTTCAAAAACTGACCGCTGCTTCAATATTGCTGCTCTTATTCTTAATTATATTTTTACACATCTCAAGTATGTTTTACCTGATGATAAGAGAAATCAGAGATATACTTGAAGCATAAAAAGGCTTTAAGGCACAAAATGAAACTACCGAACCGAATCGAACGGAACAAGAAGCTGGAAAAAGTATCCTAAACAAATCATTATTTCGACTCTCCTTATTGCATCATATATAAACAGACTAAAACTATATGACATATGCAGAACATTGGGGCTACTTTATTTATGCACATAGAGTTGCGGATGTTTGGGCTTCCAACTGAGAAATTTCAAATACGGGCTATGAGGATCAATAACTTTTTAATTTCTATCTCAATGTGAAATTTTTAACCAAAAGCCCAACGGTACATGGTTGTGTTAAGGTTATTGTTACATACTATACAAAAATTGGAAACAGTTACAAAAATATTTAAATCGAGAGAGAGAGAGAGAAAAATCGTTTTTCAAGAAAAGGGACTTTAAAAAAATCTGTCAGATGTTCATAGTGACGTCTGCATGAAGAATTTCGTTCTTTTCAAGGTGCTTTTTGAGTTTTTCCTCCATTCCGTGTTTGACATTTTAAAATCTTTTCTCAGTTGTTTTCTGGTCTCTTCATAGTTTGGTACTTTATCTGAAACAACAACAACAACAACAAATGTGGAATAATAAAATTTATTTACCAATACTGAGATTCCTTTGTTGAGGTTATGTTATTTTTGTTGAGATTGGATTGTCATTCAGTCGTTTGAATTATTTTATACAGTACGAAAATTTGTTGTAAAGTGAAGTTGAAGTTTGGATATAAAGTTTCTGTCTTGTACAAAGTAATTTCCATTCTAATTATATCATTAGTAAATATTGTGGCTCACGAAGTGTTAGTACGTCTTTTAAAACGCAATAACTTTTTTAAAACTGGACTAAATTATTTGAGTTTGTTTTAGATGAAAGAGGAACTAATCTACTAGGCAATGACTGAAATGCTTTTTTCTAATTTAACCCAGAATTTAGCTATAAGCGTTGAACGATTCAAAACACTGCAGATTTCATACAGTTTCTGGTCAAAAATATCAAAAATCGTGATTAAACTGCGAGTTTTGTAAACTTTAATTTGTTGTAACTGATAATAACGTCAACCGATTTCGATAAAATTTTCAGCATGCATAAAAGTTACCGAGATTTACGAAAGGCATATTTTTAACTTTTTGTTATAGACTCAGATAAAAACAATTAGTTTATCAATCTAATTAGTTTATCAATCAATTTTAGTCATTGTCTCGTAGATTAGTCCTTCTATATCATCAAAAAGAAATTCAAGCCATTTAGTTCAGTTCTAAAAAAGTTATTGCGTTTTACTATATGCAGGAGGTGAAAACATCCTGGTAGCTCGTCGGCTGGCCGTAATTAGGGCTATGTCACTAAACAGTGTAATCATTGATATTATCTCACTTGGGTTGTTTTATTTTACTATGTGTAATATAGCATCTTATGTTTGGAAAATAAGTTGGAACTCTGTTGACAGTAGTAACCTACTTCATAGAATATCTTCTCTCTGTTAAAAATCAGTGCATTGGTGCCCTTTTCAGGCTGTATACAGAAAGCTGAACCGTTTTTTTTTGTGCACTCCCTCCTCGAGTCTGACTATAGCATTGTGTCTACAGGAAGTTCTGCACCTGAAGGCGTCACATCTTGCAAGCATACCTTTTTAGTTCCTTTTTCTTCATGTAAAATATGATTGATATGTGTAAAAATATAATTAGAAGTGAGAGTAGTATGAAGAAATGATCAGTTTCAGAAGAAAGACTATAAATACATTTGTTGTAAATTATTTGTAAAAAATTGCATAACCAGAGGAAGGAACATAGCCGTTACCGAGATCTAAGTGACGTGACGGTCGACGTGTTAACTGTACAAGTTTAAGTTTTTCGAATACAATATTAAAAAGAGAAATCAAAATTTCAAATCACTGTAAATTGAGAATTATCTTTAATTTCTGTCTCCGAAGTTACCATAGCGCTAACACATCTCATGATGATTGAAGTGCGGAATTAATTGGTAATGATTATTAATATCATTAATTAATATTAAATTACAATTATAATTTTTAAAAAGAAAAAGAATATTTACACTTGTACTTTCGCACTTTTGAATCATATTTAAAAATGAAAAGTCAGAAATGCAAAATTTAGATTATAGCGAAAAGACAAAATCTCGAGAAATAGGCGCAAAAAAAAAACAAAAAGGTGGATTAGGTAATGTAGTTAATGGTGAGACTGTGACAAGTGGATTGCTGGACGGACTACCACTTAACTACGTGATCGTGAGAGTGGATGGAATGAAATAGCGAGTGAGAGTGTAAGAGAGGATCGGTTTTATAAGAAAAAATTATGGTAGAATCGAGGATCTGGCGCCTCTTTGTCGCCAGTTTGGTTATGGCCTTATCCAATTTTTCCAAAACTAAAGCAAATTTATATTAGGTACAATGAGTATATGACATGTACAGGTCAAAAATGTGTAAATTTCCAATCTGCAATTCGTAATTGCGGATCGTGCAGATTTCATATTAAAAGTTAAATTATAAATAATTAAATAATTAAATAAATAATTAAATTATAATTAAATAATTATATAAATAATTAAAATTTAAATTATAAATCATTGAACGTTCTGCGCGACCCGCGACGTACTTTTGTCAATTGCATTTTTGGATAGACCATTTACGTAATCTATCACACCTTCTATTAGATTATTACATTTGTGTACTGTCTTTCTTTTCCGTTGTTAAAATGGATTTTTATCATAACATTTGTTTATTTCGAGCAATCCTCATCACAAAATAAGAAAAAATAATTTATTAATAAAACCATCTATAAATCAAAAGTTGTGCATTCAATTGTTATTATACATTTTTCCTTCTTTAGGTCCGGTGTAGACGAATGATTTGCGACAAAACGCTAGTTACTACTGGGTCAAAAATCGAACGCATGAACGCAGTGGTAATTTGTTGATCGTAAATCGTTCCTCTGCAATTCATTATATGAATTGTGTGTCGTTTATAACTGCTGAAATCTGCAAGTACACTTTACATTCTGAAAAATTATGTTATATTTATTGAATCACTATATGAGAGAATAATCATATATGTATGTGTTGTGTGACGTTGCAATTCGTGCGACGTCGCTTCATATAGCTTTGTATAGCGGAAAAACAGCGAGTGGAGTGGAACATTTCCCGAGGAAAATTCGGTGTAATTGTGCCTTTCTAATTCGGTATTTCGCGGGCTGAGCCCGGCGGAGATTTCAGGAACGAATCAAGTACTCGCTCAGCTACCGTAGCTGCCGCCGGATTGAGATCGTACTCTAATTTGCTGACCACCCCAAACGACCATAGTCCACGGAACAACGGAGTTCCAAGGAACGACCACATTTGATGTCCTGCCGTTGACTCACCCTGCAAGGAATGAAGTGTGGGTGGTGTGGAGGCGCCCTGAGAGAATGTCGAGACTCCCCCGGTCTTCAAGAGCCACCGCAATTGGAAAAGTCGAAATCGGCCTGGGGCTAACGGTCTTCCGTGAGACAGTCCTGGAGAAATGCCGTATGGCGTGATTAGGCAGGCCAATTGGGACCATGACCCGCTAATGGGTAGGGTGGGAGGTACGAAGGATCGGTTCTTATCGTTGCCAAAAAATCATGAAGGATTTAAAAATAACACTGTGTCCGACAAAATCAAACTTTTTTTCTGATTTCCTATAGCCACTATGAAATTCTTGTAAAGCTTCACTTCCCGATCAAGAATGCGAAAACCAAATTGCTCCATCACCCTCAGTTTTCGAAAAAAACGAGCTTTTGTAAAAGCCCAAAATTTTCGACAAAAATGAGGTATTGCATGAAAAGTACAAACGTTAGAAAGTTCTAATCGGTCTCAAAAGATAGAAGAAAGTTTCCTGAACATAGTGGCATGCAATTTATTAACTGTTTTTGGTCCTAAATAGCAATAAGTTAATGTCAAAGTTTAAAAAATTGTCGACGCGCGCAGTTTCTGCGCAATATTTTTTTACTTTTACGAAAAGTTGTTTGTCCTGCACAAAAACTCTAACCAGGATCGGTTCTGTACACATTTCTGAGGAAGAAACGGCCTACTAAAAGTGTCGGAACGATGTACATTTTGAGTAGGTCGAGAAAATGTTCGTTGGCAACATGTACACGATGTTTTGCCGCCATATGCTTCGCTGCTCGCTTCTCTCTGTTCGACAGGGCCGAAGCTACGCGTAATCGATACCGTTGAAGGGATCCAATGGGGCAACCACTTTTCGTAAATAATATTTGAATTTTTTTTAGTATTATACTTCAATGTTTTGTTTTTTTTTTACACATTTCTGTGGATAATAATCACCAAACTGTGATATATTTCACGAAAAAAATCACACCATACATATACGAAAGTATTCTAACACTAGTATAATTTTGACTTCTACGCCATATAATTAAATAAATATTTAAATATAATTAAATATATTTTACAATATGTTTTAAGAAGTTTAACGTTTTGAAAATGATTATTTATTCATGATCGTATTATCGCTATAATTTAAATGATAACTGTATACGTGATATACTTTTAATTCGAACAAATTCAGAATAAGATGAACATTTTCTGTTCATTATTTTTCTTGTATTATTTCTCCATTTGAAAATTAATAATCTTATTTCTATATTCTTGAAACCATGTTTTTCGTACTTTTTAATTTACGATTCACAGTTTGGTGATTATTATCTGCAAAAATATGTAAA